CTAAGTAGTTTTGCTTTCACAACGAAACACACAGCGTCTCCACGACATGGCAGCAGCGCCAACAGCGAGAATAAAAGTTACGCCTTCTTTCTTTGCGTGAACATTTGGGCGGCGTTATACAAATCTTCCCACATCGTGACGTAGACATGTGGGGGCGTGTTAGAACGAGCCGTTTTAGGTAGGCGTGGTTGACTCTTAACTTTTATAAAGAATATCTCTTTGGATTTGAGACTTTAGTCTTTGCAACTTTACAGATCTTCTTTATGCACCAAGAGCTTGTAACACTTCAAAGAGAAAGGAAAAATTGAAATCGCATCATATGACCCCTTTAAGAGATGCAATATTTTCTCACCCAATTCTCAGAGGCTCAAGTCTCCATAATGAACGGGCCTGACTACATACCGCCCCTCCTTCATATTGTGCAATCCTAGAGAGAGAGACTGACATAACTATCATTTATGTTAAGCATTCAGTGTGAAATACACAGTATGAGGAGGTTAGCCAATCATAACAGGTCATTTACTGCACATACAGATGGTACAGTAAGAAAAACAGCTTATGTATGTGTGTGTGTGTATACTGTACATTACTGTTCAAAAGTTCAGATTCAAAAATTTTTTTTAAAGAAATTATTTCATTCTGCAAGGATGCATTCAATTGATCAAAAGTGACAGTAAAGATATTTATAATGTTACAAAAGATTTCTATTTCAAATGAATTCTGTTCTTTTGAACTTTCTATAAATCAAAGAATACATAAAGAAAACAGTTTCCACAGAAATATTATAAGAAATGTTGCGAGCACCAAATTAGCATATTCAAATGATTTCTGAAGGATCATATGACACTGAAGACTGGAGTAATGGCTGCTGAAAATTCAGCTTTGACATCACAGGAATAAATTACATTATAAAATATATATCCAAACAGAAAATAGTTATTTTAAATTGCAATAATATTTTACAACATGTATTTCTGATCAAATAAATGCAGCCTTGATGAGCATAAGAGCCTTCATTTAAAAACATTTTAAAAAATTCTGACTTTTGAGCGGTATTTAGTGTTGGGTCCAAAAGTCGAGTCCAAGTCCTTAACCAACTGAGTTTGAGTGGGAAATGTTTATTAATGTCTTGACATCTCAATTTTATGTTGTTATGTTTTTTTTAATCTTTCATGTTACACATGATGTGGATTCGACTGTACTCTGAAAAATTTCGGAGTCCAAAAAGTCTGAGTAAAAGTCAAACTATGTGTCTCCAAATCCATTCATAATTGCAGTCCGAGTCCAAGTACCCTAACTGCAGAGATGGCCAGACACTCATCCATGTGACCATGAAACAGTCTTAAGACATGACCTCCAGTTAAGTACCCTAAAAAGAGCAAATATAAAGACAGAACACAGACAGATAGGTTACATTATCTTTAAAAAATACAGATATATTTCAGAACATTTTGCTGTTGTTTGACTGGGAATTCTCTGTATTTGCTGAACGCTTACCCTCTGCCAGCTCACAGCCTGAACAGACAGGATTCATGTTCCATAAGGTCTGCATAAAGGAGGCATCTACCATCAGGTCCCCGCTGGCGTACGACAGATGCTGCAGAAGATATCACAGACACCAGCTGTCAGCTGCTCAGAGAATCATGGTTGATATTATTATTAGATCACTAAGGATCTAAAAAGTCTCACTAGGTATCTCTCTGACGACACGCTAACCAGGATCAGGTCGTCTCCTACCCTGACCTTCTCACCCTCTGACCTCTGTTTGGATGCAGGATGGATGGTCCACCAACATGCTTCTCCTGAATATACAAAGACACAAAGAATTTGTCCAGTAAAAAAAAGGAAAAAACTTCTAACATACATATTATTATTACAAAACTGCAACCCAAACAAATGCAAACAAATATTATTATGTAACAGGTTTAACAGTGTATAACAAGACAATGTCACTGTTGTGATGACTTTTTGCTTGTGTCATTTGTGGGTAGGGCATTGTTTGTGTGAATGTGTGTGTTGGGTGTTTTTTTTCTCTTTCTTTCGTTTTTCTTTTTTTCTTTTTCTCTCCCTCTTTGATTGTTCTCAAGTGTGCATAGCCAGAGAGCTGACTGTCACTGAGGCGCACCAACACTCAGTGTGTTTCATGGTGATATAAATGTGCCATTTGCAGACTGTTGAGGAGACGGTGGGAGACAGGCATTTGTTAGCTTTACCATCTGGTTCATGCTGTTCAGACAATACTCTTTTTCCTGGGTTTCTATAGTGCAGGGGTGTCCAAACTCGGTCCTAGGGGGCCGTTGTCCTGCAGAGTTTAGCTCCAACTTGCCTCAACACACCTGCCTGGAAGTTTCTAGTATGCCTAGGAAGACCTTAATTAGCTGGTTCAGGTGTATTTAATTAGAGTTGCAGCTAAACTCTGCAGGACACCGGCCCTCCAGGACTGAGTTTGGAGACCCCTGCTATAGTGGGACTGGACATTGCATTGTTGTTGCTGTTTGAATCCCTGAAGTCTGGCATTTTTATGTAAAACTGTCACTGTTTTCACTACTCCCATCTGTATTTAAAATTTGCATTTTACAGTTGTAAAGTTTAACACTGTTTGTATAATATTATTTATGTAAATTATGCATAATTCAGATGCAATTGTAATTTATGATTGTACACATAATAAAAAAAAACATAATATAATAATAATTATTTTTTGTTGTAGCATAGTACTACTAGTCGGTAGTTGTGGTTGTTCAGCTCAGGAAAAAGAAATGCAACCAGAAGAACACATAATAAACCTCTAGTACTACTACTACTATGACTAACAACAACAACAACAATAATAATAATAATAATAATTTTTAATTATTATTATTCAACATATGAAATACACATTACTCTTGATCAGGGCTGTTTCTAGTGGGGAGAAAGGTGGTGACAATTATAGGGGGTCACAGCTGTCGGGGGCCCCCGGCGATTTCAACCGACTGCCTGAGGCCAGCATGAAAGACGCTCAGGACAGTTGACGGGCCACTTCTGCTCGTCATCACAAAAGCTTATCATTTGCACGTTTTTAAGCCTTGCCAATTTAAACATTCAAGCACAAGAAGACGCGAAAGAGCTCAACTGAGTACTCGCGAGCTGTGTTCGGTGCGCACACAGAGAGCCATGTCTCAGACAGCACGCAAACACCGAATTGAGTTCTCTTTCACGTCTTCTTGAGCTTGAACGAACAAACACACTTCGCCAATTTAAACATTAAAGCACAAAAAGACGCAAAAGATTTAATTCAGGTTTAATTCAGCACCTGTTCACTGTGTTCTGTGCACACAGTGTGCACGCAGAGAGCTGCGTCTCACAGTCTGCTAACACCGAATTGAGTTTTGCGTCTTCTTGCGCTTGAACGGACAAATACATACAAAATTATGTAAAATACCCATTTTTGCAAGTATCCTCGAAAAACTGTCGGTTATGCCTTAAGTGAACGTAAACAGTTGAGAAAGAAATTGAATGTGTATCATTACATTGGATCCATGCATTGAGTCTTAAAGTGACGGCGCCTAATTTACTAGCTGCTGATGTTAATCCAAGAAAAAAAAGAGAGATCACTCACTGCTCTTGGCTGACTTACTTTTTTAGATTTAACAAGAATTAATCTATATTTAATTTATCAGTGAAGACTATGCAATGTTATTTTACAGTTGTTTATTCGGTTTTTGTACTTGCACACCTAAAAACTTGAAAAAACTTAAATCATTGTTTAATTTGTATCTTTGTTGTATTTATTTATTTGTGCTATTTACACGATTTCAAACAGGGCCCATGGGTACAACCTGCACCAGGGCCCCGCAAACCCCAGCTACGGCCATGCTCTTGATCATTACATGTACCTGTAGAATCCTCTTGCAGGCCCACATCAAAGGCCAGCTTGTCTGTTAGTGAACGTGATGTCGTCAGGCAGCTGAGATACTGTAATTCAGGGTAACACACACATCTCTTTAAAATTAGTGCCATCACATTAAACGTCAGTAAATGGTGAAAAGGATCCGTCATGCATCTCTCACCATGTCAGAGTGGTAGTGTCTCAGGAGGATGGCATGGCCATAGAGCAGCGTTCGGTGTCCCCCTCCCTGAGATGACTGGAGATTGAGGAACAACAGAGAAAATAAAGTCAAAACAACTTCTTTGTACACAAATAGTGCTGTGAGGACTCAGCAAAGTGGACTACGTTGGATGGTAAACAGCAGCATTTTACATAGGAAAGGGAAGAGCTCCACCATTTTCACATGAGGACAACAGTGAGACATAAGAAGAGGTAAACTGAAAACAAAAACTGTTATGAAGGGACAGAGGAATAAAGTACCAAAGATTTCGTTACATACTGTAAGTTCACATTCACAGGAAGTGGGTTACAGTACCATGGAGAGAGCATACATACAGAAACAACCAATGGACAGAAGAGTCAAAGAGTCAAAGGTCACATTCAGCCTTCATGAGGACAACAAACACATCCTGTGGACGGCTTACCTTTTCTCAACATCCAGTAAGGTTTAAAAGCAAGAGAACACGATTATTGTTGCTATTAGTGAGTTTTGTCTATAGTTTCATACTATTTATGAGTATGATTACATAAGTGAGAGAGAGAGAGAGAGAGAGAGAGAGAGAGAGAGAGAGAGCATACCATAGCAGACCTTAAAGAGATGGTTCTCCCAAAAAAGAAAATTCTAAGATTGTTTATCAACCTTATGTTGCTCCAAATCCGTTTTTGGATCACAAAAGGAGAATTTTTTTTTATAATGTACAGAAGAAAGTCATATAGGTTTGGAGCGACATGAGGGTGAGTATATCATGCCAGAATTGTCATTTTTGGGTGAATTCACCACAACAGCTGTATCGATCTGGAATGGGTCAGCATGTTACTTCCTCATTTGCCTGTCGATATTAGCACTGGCTCAGGGGTCTTCTCAACTGCCCAGGTGTCAGATTCTTGTCAAATCTATATCTAAATCTGTATATATAATTTAAACAAATAAATAAATGATTGATTAAATGTTGTACCACTTAGTACAATCACCCAATCATGGCACCAATGAGGTGAGGTGAGATGAAATGAAGGTCGATGTTAGCATAAATTACTACTGAGGAGGCCAGTAGTTAGTAGTGAAAAATAGGAGAAAAAAAGTTTTTTTTAAATCTTAATTTGGCTGATCTTTTTCCAGATAAGCATCTCTAATTGAGTTTGTATGAGGTTTTCTTTATGGATCTGAAGCCCATAGAACCTGCTAGCTATTTATTATTTGTTTTTTTGTTTGTGGAAAATCTCTTGAATGCTGCAGAATTAGTTGGTAATATAAATAAAGTAAAATTGTTAAACAGTTTAGAAGACTACACAGTTTTTCATAGCTGAAAACATTACCAAATTAGCCAAAATATTTAATAAATAAACATGCCAGGGGCAAAGCATACGCAAAACATTGTGAATGGAAACAGAGTTTTAGGTTTTTGAAAAATGTAAAACAATGTTGTAATGCAGGTATAAATAGAGAGATAACGCTTTTTGATAGCTGAAAGCATAATCAAATTTGCCAAAATATTTAATAAATAAACAAGCCACGGGCAAGTTTGTGAATTACATTTGAAATCTGCAGATCTGTGTGGCCACAGGTTTCATGTAGACCTGCTTATCAGCTTTCATGTCCAGGAATGAGTGTTAGTGTTGTGGGCCGTACACTAAAGTTCATATCCTTTAGCAGGATTCAGTGGTACTGAGCTCATCTTACACACTGGAATGCTCTCTCTTTCTCTCTCTCTTTCTTACAATGTACACACTTATACACACGGACGAGGTGTCATTTGAAATGCCATTTGGAGATCAAATGGGATTCCAACTCCAACCAAACCAGACAAAATGAGGAACGGGTGACAGCGGTCAAAGGTCAGACAGAAGTAAAGGTTTAGAAGTGAAGAAGAGCTACAGCATTATTTCATCCACACTGGACACTGAGTCGGTTTTATATTAACACATTTTAATGACAGCATATTTATTGGAAAAACAATTAATACTTTTATTTGTCAAAATAAGCAGAAAATAGTACAAACTTTGCTAAAGTGGTTGTTTTGAACAAGTATTAACTTAGACATTATTTAAAAAAAAAACATTATTTTAGCTGAAGTATTTGTATAAATACCGTGTGCCTTTTACCCCATGCTGGTGAGCCTTTTACCCCGTGTGTGGGGTAAAAGGCCCCTCTCGCCACCTCATACATTTATACGATTTTTAAACAAAATATTATTTATTTTCACACAAAATCTGTTGCTCCATTAATGTTCAATACAACGTATATATTTTTTCTGCAATTATAGATTTTAGGCGCAGTGAATGGCACATTTTTTCTTAAGGTGGGCCTTTAGCTCCGTTGTACCCTATATATATATATATATATATATCATT